CCAATTCGTATTTAAAATTTTTGCATATAATCCTGAAACACCCTGTATACATCTGTTTAATTATACAGATATTTTAAGCTAAAATATAGTGATAATGCTATCAAAATATTTGAATATTATATCCCAAATATCATGTCATTTCTCTATGCAGAGTGTTATCGAGAGAATCGCACAAAACTCCAGGAATAAATAAAATAATAAGAAAATACTCAAATGTTATGGAATTTTCATTTGTTTTCAAGTTATAGCGCAATTACAAATTTTAAAAAATTCTCGTTGCAAACAACCAGCTCTCACGTTACAAGCAACAAAAATTCTGCGTTTTATTTTTACAAAACCCAAAATCAACCACTACACATTAGCCATCCACAGAAGTTTTGACGACGAAGAAAGAAGCAGAGGCCGTTCCACTGCAACAACAACGATCAAAAAATTGTCTTTTGAAAAAAAATAAAGGAACACAAAATAAAATAAAACAAAATAATCTAAAAACAAGCAAAACAAAATAAAATAATATAAAAAAATAAACAAAACAAAATAAACAAATAAAATAAAGCAAAATAAAACAAAATAAATAAAAATAAAACCAAAACTCTGAAGCAAGTTCAAATAAAACAGTTTAGCTATAAAAAAATTTAATAATCCGAAACAATCCGCACACGATAATTGAAGTCAAGCTACTATAGTAGGCCAGTATAAATTACAACTTACCACCTACAAGTTGGACCAAGTTGGAAAATCTTGGAGGACAAACGTTTGAACCCTTTGAAAATACTATGGATACAGTAACTGCTCTTGTGGGATTATGTGCTCCATTCGGTTCGAATCTTTTTCGATAACGTCTAGATAATCTGTTCTTCAATTTCTTCTGTTTGGTAGAAGTCGCCCAGAAAATCGATCAACATAAATAAGATGTGCCTCTTGCAAATTATATAAGTTAAAGTTACTCAATAAGATCAGCAGTTACTCAGATATTAATGTATCACAAATCCAAATAAAATTACTATTAAACTAGGTAATCAAAAACACGAAACACACTGGACCTACTTTCTCGACTGCGACTCTTAACTGTCCCTACCATCCACCTGTTTGTCTATGACGATTAACGCTCTGTTGCCAAGTGTACTCTATTATGAAACAATTAATTCATTAGTGAAAAGAAACATTATTTTTAACTCATTTAAATTATGTGGGTCATCAAATTATTATTATTAAAAAACATACCATACCTTTCCCTGTTGTCACCATCATTTTTATTCTACAATCCATGTATTATTTATTAACAAAACAAAGCTTTTTTATTATATTTTTCCTTCAAAAACTGTTCAAACTAGATCAATATATGTTGTACGATATTTTTTTGTTCAAGCTCCTTTTAAATATAAGTCTTTGTTTAAAATATTTATTAATCTTCAACATCACTTGTGCACTGAATGGTGGTTAGGGCCTACCAACATAAGTCGTTCCTGGGCGCAAATGCGGCCTGCGTAATAATAATATACCGCCTCCTCTCCCACACAAGTCTCCGACTTCTGGGATAATTCTCGTAGTTAGAATGAGGAGTAGAGATATTATTATTATCTGCCTCGCCTTTACCAAATAATAAATTGGTAAAGTTCTGAAGAGTTGTTTTATTACAATACGATCACTTAACCGCTATTTAGAAAAAAGCTAGTGATAAGATAGGAAGACGCTATCGCAGTGAATGACCCTCGTAGAACTGAATATAGCTTCCAAACGAGACTTGGTCGGATGGCAGCAGCAACTAACGTCATGTTAGAAATCCCCAAATTCAGAATTAATGATGGCTTTTATTGAAACTTCAATTTCTTGATTAGCCCCGCTTTCCCTTTGTTTTTGCACACCCTCGCTTGATGTGAATTATTTTCGCAATTTGTCTCAACCTAGGGGATGTCCAACACAGCCTGTGATTATTGCAGAGGTTGTTTTATACGTTTTTCATACTATTCTGCTTGTGTAATTAGTTAATGGCTGAGAGCCCTAAATAACGCAATTTTTTGTAGCAACGAAAGGTTTCCAGTGCCAATAAAGGTACATTGCAAAATATTTTTTGTACGATATAACTTTCACTCAATTTTGAAGTATACTGTGTGTTAATGAAATATTCTGCCAAACTTTATTGGTGGATTCGAAGTCACAAATCAATGAAAAAAATTCACATAAACATGTTTTCAAATTAAAAAATATTTATTTAAATGCATCTTCAGATGATAACGACTTAATTAATTATAAGCAACATTCTCTGGATTGGTACACAAATCTGTCAACAAATAACAGACATATTGGGAAACATCATCATAAAAAAAATTACCTAGAATTTCGACACCACTAATTATTTTGGAAACTGGATGTGTATCCAATTTTGGTTAGCATTTTTAATAAAAAAAGATTTTTTTTATTTTATTCGAAGGACAGTCATTTCTCAATTATTATTTGCAGGTTAATTTAAAATTAGTCTAGACATAGTCGAATAAATTTAAAATAACACCGAGATTATTCGTGCTACAAAAATATTTATAGGATATATTTGTTGGAAATATAATTTTAAATGTAAAGTAATTATGGAAAGGTCAAAAAACAGTTGGGTGAGCATTCCCTAAGAAACTAAAAATTACTGTAGGTACTAACGATTTTTTTTTACTTCTCATAACGTTCAAACTGTTCAATCTTGTAATTCTAATAATCTCTGGAATTGTAGTCAATTTATTCAACCCTGTCACAGGTTTATTTCAAATTTTAAAAAGTAATTGAAAAGTGGCTCGTTTTTTCATATAAAATGGAAAACATCATTTCTATTAAATATTTCGTGGTATCGAAAATCTAGTGTTCCCAGTAAACCCGCGACCGATTTACAAATTTGTGTGCTAACTCAGAAAATTTTTGCTCCTAATTAGTTAGGTCACTTGCCCAAGTTTTATCAGTCTATATCAAACATATTAAGAGATATTTAAATGTGATATTTTTTAGATTTCAACCCCTTGTGTTCCGAACAATGTTTATAGGAACTTTTTTTAGTAATTTATTTCTAAAATCAATGAAGAAAGATTGGCAGAGAACTTCGTTAACATTCTGTATAACATATTTAATGAGTAAGCTAAATTATTAATAGAGATTATTTATCAGATAATTTTAAGAGAACCTTCACATAAACACGTTTCTTGAATATCTTGTACGCGAAGAGAATATTTTCTCAATGTAAGATGATTTCTACTTCTCAAATTTATATCTCACAAGTCTCATTTTAGCCTAAGTTGAAATTTGAAAACGTTACCAAGAACATGCAAGTGCATATTGTTCAATTTACGTTTTTCCTCTCCTTTTCCACTTCTAGATAAAAATGTTTTCGTATTTTCTGTTTAAAGGTTAATTTAAAAGTAAATCATATTTTTTATAGCAATACATTAAGAAACTGATAGATATATTCATTTTATAATACCAGGACTATGAAATTATTAAAATTTCTAATTTACAGATCGTAGAAATAAGATCAATTGACATATTTTAGTTTACAGATTGAAATAATCAGTTTTTCTTAATTTTTTTCTACCTAATATTCTTATATTGAAAACAAGGCTTTAAATCGTTTAAGGAAGTAGATTTATTTAGTAATTTTAATCAATAATTTTAGTAGTATTAGATTTTTCTGTCCCTCAATACAATATTATAGTAAAAGTAACAGCTATAAAATGATATCATTTATGTTTATTCCACTTCTTGGATGTAAGGGGGGGCAAGCTAATTTTTACTGGAATACCTTCAGTACAACTCACACAATAAAAGTGTAGATCTCTAGATCAGGGCGAGGTCCGGAACATTTTCAGCATTGCAAAAATGTTTAAGAAATTTTAAAAAAAAACCTATTTTATCTGAATTTTTTACTTGTATCTTGGAACCTATGCATTTTGGAAAAATATTGAAAAGGAAAAAAAGTCTTAGAATTGAATTTTGTAATATACTGTAAGTTAAAAATGTTTAAATTTATTACCGTTGTTGCAAAATAGCAATAATTGATGAAAAAAAAGCAAAAAAATCAAGTTTTTTGAATAATTTTTTTAAAATGTTTTAATTGCTCCGAGGGCATTATAATTTTGATAAAAAAAAACTTTATAGTATAATAAAACAACACACCGAATTTCATTAAAAGTGGTTTTATAGTTTTTGCAAAATTTTTTGAAAAAATTTTAAAAAAATTTTCCGAATTTTCAAAATTTTACACAGCCTCAAATTAGGCATCTAGATACTTGAAAATTTTTTCACATAGAAAAGACCGCTCAACCTTTCAAATGGTTTTTGAAATATTGAAATCGGTTTATTAGGACGACCAAAGTAAATTTTTAAAGTTATCGGCAACATAGATAAATCAGCGGAAAAGCTGTCGTTCGCACTCCCGAAAAGTGACTCAAAACACGAAAAGTGGGGGAGGGGGGTTTCCGAGTACTTTAAAATTATAATTTTAAAAAAAATTTAATTGCAAATTGATAAATGTAATCTAATTGTTTAAAAATAAAAAAATTATGTTAACTTTAAAAATTTACTGTGGCCGTCCTAATCAACCGATTTCAATTTTTCAAAAACCAATTGAAAGGTTGAGCGGTCTCTCACTTCCACCTCAAAACAGATCCACCCTGATCAAAGATACTTGTAGAAAACAAGATTTGTGTATGTGTAAAATCAAACCAAAATGAAACAACAATATAAAACAATTTTATTATTTATTTACAAACGTATAATTATACACAAATTAAATACTAATTAACAATTTACATAAATACTATGTACAAGATTCAATAATTTATATATTTTTGGACATTCAAGTGAGAACGATGATTTTTAATACATTTAAAATGTACCTACATCCTTTAAAATGATATAAATGAAATGAAATTAAATGTTTAAAAAGAGTTATTTATAACAAATCATTGTAAAGTTACTTTTTAGATATGAGACGGGTATTTTAGAAGTTAATATTGCCGAGGACGCTAATACGGTCGCCATACATTCCTGTTACTGTCTCTTGAACACTTTAAATCATTCTTATCACTAGAACTAACTTCATCCTTCTGCCTAACTAGTGTTATCGCAGCTTTCCTAACCCGTAAACTCAAATTAATCCCTTCACTGAAATTTTTCTTTTCATTTTCATCATTTTTGTCTTCGTCCTTACCGTCACTCTCGACAGAGTCTCTAAAATTCTCTCTGAAACCGTCTTTAGAGAATTCCTTGACATCTTTGCTTTCTTCGTCGACTTCTGTCACGTCCAGTTTTTCACTGGAACTATCCGGGTTCTGGGAATTGTCTTCCTGTGGACTTCTGACCAAAGCCGAACTGTTTCTTAGACTCATCCAGTTCCAATCGTGAGGATACAGCTGGGAGTAGAACCACTGTCCTGGTGGGGGCAAAAGTGGTGCGTTCAGGAACAAACTCGCTGCAAGGGCGTTATTGAACAGCTGATTGCTCTGTAAAGGTGGCGGCGGCACACCTGGGAAGGCCGGGGGCGGCTGGGGGGACGGCGTGGGGGACGCTGTGACAGATATGTCGTCTTCTTGGGGCGAATGTGGTTCACCGGCAGTGGTTAGCAGTCCTATTTGAGTGTTGGGTGATGTTTTCGGAGACGTTGTGCTGTGAGCACTGCTGCAGTTTATGGATATAGGGCCTAAGGATGTCGATGTGGGTTCTGAAACAGAAACAGATCGTTAGCTACTTGTATAATAAATCCCTAAGATAATTTATTAAACTTGTTTATATGAGGGCTTTTAGGAAAGTTAATTAACATATAATAAATAAAATCGGGCAGAAGCCTTTTAACATGTTTAGATATAAAAAAATACAATACACTGAAAGAAATGCCCTTAAGGACGGGATTTTGTACAAAAAATATCGCCCAGCGTGAGTCACGAAACGGGACCCCGGCAGGTGCTGCTCTAGCGGCCAACGCTTCAAGGTGTGTTTTTTAACCGAACGACGAAGTCTAATAATAAACGCTGGACGTAAACGGCTCGATTTTTCAGGAGCGGCTCCAATTTGTGTACATACAATCTTATAAGGAAAGAGAGTAAAGATTTTATTAATCATTAATAGATTATCGAGGACAATAATATTTTTTTTATTAAGTAGGCAATAATTTTTAGTTAATAAGGTTAAACAATCTTATAATTACCATTCCTTTATTATAAAAGCAGATATAATTTTTAAAATTACATGTAGTTTCTTCTTCAAGAGCTTAAAAAACGTATAACAGGAACAGTCAACAGTCTAATGTTTATATTTTCACGTTAACGATCCGATACGTAAATTAACTGCTATTTTCAGTAAAAATGATATAACTTGAATTATTTTTTTACTTTGGTGAGTCGTATTAATTTAAAAACACTGCCTAATTACTAAAATATATAGCTACTTATATATACTTATACTAACTTGCTACTAATTACGTTTGTAATTAGTAGCAATATATATGTATAGTAGGGTGGCACAAAAAAAACGATTTTTTTTTGTGTCGTGAAAATATGTTAGTTTAACATGTTTTAAGAGCTCCCTCAAAAAATCAGCTCAAAAATTTTTTTTAGAGGTCCCAAGATTTTTAAAAATTTCCAAAATCGTTAAAAATTGAATTTTTTATCTTTCAATTTCAATTCAATAAAAAATAAATTATTAGTTCGTTGATATTTATTTTTTAGAGATCGCTCGAAAACATAGATACACTACTTTGAAAATTAAAATAATTATGAGTGACCTTTAGAAATTAAAATATCGATTTGAAACTTTCAGAATCGAGATTTTTTTCAACCTAGAAAATGATAAAAAAACGGGAAAAAAATTAAACACAAAAAAATTAAATTTGACGATTTTGGACATTTTTAAAAATCTTGAACGACCTCTAAAAAATTTTTTCTTTGACCTGACGTTTTGAGGGGGCTCTTAAAACATGATAAACTAATATATTTTCACAGGAGACACGAAAAAAAAATAATCGTTTTTTTTGTGGCCCACCCTAAATTGTATAGGCATAACATATTATATTATATATTATTATTGTATCTATCAGGGAAATATTATTAAAATTTTAAGTTATTATTAACAAGATGTGTAATGGAATTCCCCTAGCAGGTAAGACCGTCAAGAAATTGTTCTTATCTAATTCCAATATAATGATTCCCACTGCAAAAAATGACTGAGCAAGATACCGTTGGACTGGAATATAATTACTGGTAAATAATATAGGTACATATAATTTCATAAGGGTGCATAAGGGTGAAAAATTTGAAAAAGTCAATTGAAGAACCATACATTCAAGGTATGCACCAGGCTCGGTCCCTACGCAGCAACTCGGCATTGAAATATTTGAAAAACTTGTTCCCATATTTATTTAGCCATACCCATACAGAGGTCTGGTGGGACTAAACGTGCAGCTGGTAGAAATGTATACGCCCAGTTGAAGAATGCGCGTGCGGGCAAATAATGTCCCATACAGTTGCTTTGGTCAACTGCGTCGTGAATTTCAGTTCTAGACAAGTAGCTTGGCAGTGCAGTGCGGGAATGCGGAATTTGGTGTGATTCAGATAATTTTAATTTACTATAGGTACCTTCTATCAATCATTCATATGACAATTGCGAAAGGGAGAAATAAGAGGGATATTTTGTTTATTAATATTATCACAACATGGCATTTTGGAGACCTTTTGAAACGGAACAAAATGAAATTTACCATCAATATAATAAAATTGTTTGAGGACATAAATAATTAAAATATGTTGTTGGTCAAATGAACATATAATAAAAATTTTCTACACATTATATACAAATTATTATAATTTTCTACCTTTAGCAGAAAACTTTTTTAGGGACGCCCATGAAACTCATTCAATTTGATTGCTTGTTTTTTTATGCATGTTCAACTGACTTCGGAAAAACTATACTCTATTGTGTGTTAAAATTTCAGTTAGTTTCGTTATCCCATTAAGTTATTGAAAATGTTGAAAAAATCACGGTTTTCTGCCTATAAAATTGATACCTCTCACTTTAACTCGCCGTAAGTTTCTTTGTTAATTGATAAAAAAAATTCAAATTTTTACTGACGATAAGTCGCACTATAGTCTTTAGTACTGTGAAGGTCATTTGTCTCAAAAGATTTTTTTTTTATTTTTAAGCAAAACAGAAGGGGGTGCTATGTCCATAAATATTGCATTCTTTAAAAAAAGAAAAATACTGACTCGAGTAGTAAATAATTGTAAACAACAATCTGAAAAAATTTGTTAAAATAATACAGTTATAAAGGCTATACTATATACTCTGCATCGGACCGTGACCGTAATTGACCATTCCGATACTGTTTTTAAGAATATCATATTTATAACTGTATTATTTTAACATATTTTTTCAAATTGTTGTTTACAGTTATTTGCTACCTGTCAGTTTTTTTTTTTTTTAAAGAATGCCATATTTACGGAGATAGCACTCCCTTATGTTTCACTTAAAAAAAAAAAAAGAAGACCTTTTGAGACAAATGACCTTTACAGTATTAAAGACAATAGTTCGACTTATCGTTAGTAAAAATTGGATTTTTTTTATCAGTTAACAAAAAAATTACGACGAGTTAAAGTGAGAGGTACCAATAATTTTATATGCAGAAAACCGTGATTTTTTCAACATTTTCATTAATAACTAACAAATGGGATAACGAAACCAACTGAAATTTTAGCACACAATAGAGTAATAGTGAGGCTATATATGGTCCAAATTTCAAATTTTTTGCCCCAACGTTTTCTTAATATCGGTTTCCAAACTCAGAGGTTTATTTCATTTATTTCGATAGTAAGTGACTAAAAATAAGCAAAAGTTGATTGTCAAGACAATATGAAATTAAAATCGTGTTAGTTATATTTATATTCAAGAATGTATAATTTTTTTGGTCGTAACTTTTTTCATTAAATATCCAGTGGTTTCCTTCTTACCGGTAAGTAGCTTGAAGATTTGTAGATTTGTAGATTGAAGAAGAAATCTATCTGAGCCAGGCTAATTTTTAAGCTGTAAATTTATTTAAACATAAATAACGATTTTATGTGGGACACCCTGTACGTAAAATTTAATCTGTATTCTTAATAAAGAAAAATTAGTACATATTATTGGTTTTTTATGCGTTATATTTTCGTACTATTTAAGCTTTACAAAATCATTACTTAGTACTTAGTACTACTTAGTACTACTAGGTATATCAAAGATAATATTAGACCATTATGCTTTATTTTAGGACGCATTTATAATAAACCAACTCTGTGTTTTCACTTTCATTTTCAAGGGTAGCGACACCTGTGAGAGAGTGTACAAACTAATTATATCGAGAGAAATTAGAAATATCTTGTGAATAGGTAGGAAACTCGACAATTCTGGTTTAGATACATAATAAAAATGGAGTCGTGTGTAAAATGTTGTCATTTTACTTGAGGACACAAATTATAGAATTATTAATAAATATTAATCTGAAAATTAAATACAAATGATCCTAGGTGTCCGTTCTAGTGAGTGAAGTAGTTTGGTTATTGTGCCTGACCTAGTTCCGTCGTAAATGCAATATATTGACAGACTAACAGTATGGTTAAAATTGAGGTACTTTGGCATTTATTTAAATTATTCTTCTGTTCTCATGAGCATTGAAATTTATCTCACTCACTAGCGGGAACCATTGCGAATACATTGATATATAATAATATTCAATTATGTTAGTTTCTTCGATGATTTGTGTCCTCATCTGAAGCTCTGTTACACGGTAAAAATATACATACTAAATCGCCCCCTTAAACGGCATTATAAGAACATTGTATACCGGGTGAGTCGGGAAGACCGCACCAAACTCCAGGAATAGATTCTACACATCAAAATAATAAGAAAAAACTCAAATGTTGTTATGCGATTTTCATTTGTTTTCAGGTTTTAGCGTAATTACAAATTTAAAAAATTTGAAATCAGAGCGTGTCATGTTCTAAGATCTATTGGAGGATATTTGTCAGTGCTGCAATAGTTTAACATTTGATTACCCGTTTATACGATGAAAGTCGACATACTCTACAATGAACAAAGAAATGCTGACATCGACTTTATCTGATCAATAGGTAGGTACTAGTAAAAGTTCAAAAACAAAATGGAAAATATTTTTAATAGAAAGAGCCTGAATATCAATGATAATTAGATGTCGGAAATTTTAGGGCGGCTGCAATGTGGTACAGGGTTGGCTGTAGGCCGCTTTCTCTTTTATGTAATTTTATTCAAACAAAAAGTAACACAATCGTCATTATATCACTGTTTTATGGTTTGCAATTGTTTTGTTATTTCTTATTTAATTTTTGTCTGAATCTTCAATCATTTTGTGTGCCCTATTAGAAACCCATGAGCTTTACATAAGATAGAGGAACTGAAGACTGACAAGAGCACAGATAAAGTCAATCAACCAGAGGAAATAGGATTAGGAAAAAAGAAAGTTAACCTTTCAGGGGATGCTTCATTCTTAGGGTGGAAGAGTTATAGTGCAAATTCCGGTGTAATGTAATGTAATACAAGACACGGGCGCATTGATACTAGGAAGATAATCTGGACAGTTTTGGGAGCGATTTGTCATCATTTTTAATACTTAATATTTGTTATATATTTACATTAGAATCTGAGTTTGTAATTATAATTCTACAACAAAATGTTTGAAAATTTAATGTCATATGTTTTTAAGTTACCTATACATAGTATAGAACAGTTTAATATATTTATTATTATAAAGCTTATAAATAGTACTAAATGTCCTAATGATTGCGGAACACTTTAATTATAGCTAAAATTTCGTAGAATTTAATAAGTATTGTATACTAATGATACAATAATTTAATAAAGAACTACATATACAACTGTGTTAACAATACGCATTTTAAATTCAATAGTCACCTGTTTATTTGTCACATATACTTGTATATGTACAATGTTCTTATAATAGCAATTAGAATTCTAATAAAGAATTAAGCGCATTTCTTTCAGATTTAAAACAAAGCAGTTACAACATAAGACAGAACTAGTTGCTTAGATCACAATCTACGTCACACACAACGCTCATCCAACTAGAAGAAGCGTAATAACCGATGCGCTATTGCAAATTTTCCAATTATGGACGAGCAGTAAGTAAGTAAATAAACATTTATTTCCTCAAGTTATTACAATATGAAGTTATATAAATAGAGAAAAAATTTTGAGATTAGAGAAGAATAACATAATTAACCTAAATAAAGGTGTAAGGAAAGTATTGTGTTGATGATAAATATTAAGTAAGTATACCAACATATTTACATATCTGCGTTTTTGCCCCAAAAATTGAAATGATGTAAAATTTAAAAAAAAAAGAAGAGAAAAAATACCTATAGAGTACAAACTTACAGCTAAACATTAAAAATACAAAGATAATAAAAATTGACAGTAAATAAACAGACACATATTTATGTATTTTACATGTACAAGTTAAAACTTAATTTTGATAAAAGACGTGATACACTCTTATTGCCTTAGAGTGCACTGATAAAAAATTCATTTAAAGAATAGCTTTCATGACCTCGTAAAAGGATTTTTAGTTTTCGCTTGAAAACTTTACTGTTTAATGTCTTCTGAAGAGATGGTAATTTATTATAAATCTTTATCCCCGAATACAAAGCACCATTGCGAGTTATAATTATATTGTGGTAAAGTGAGATTTTGATGACGTGTAGGATAACTATGATAATCACTTGGTGTGTTGATCAAATGTTTATTTTTATGAATTAACTTCTGCAAGATTCTCTATAAGGTAAATTACATAGGATTCTTATTGCCTTTTTTTTTGTACCAGGAATACATCTTCAGAACTAGTAAATCCTCCCCAAAGCTCAATTCCATATTGCAATACACTCTAGAAATATGCATAATAAACAATCTTTGCTGTGGAAAAATCAATATATCGTTTAACAGTTAGTATTGCATATATGGCTTTCCCTAACTTTGTCTTTAAATTGGTTATGTGCTCCATCCAATTCAATTGAGAGTCGACATAAATGCCAAGAAATTTCGTGGATTGTACTGAGCATATTTGATGGACAAATTTTACTTGAGCCCTAAAACGCTGAAATCGAAAAGAGAACGCACTTGATGTAGAATGATATGAAAATGTAGGCAGCAGGTACCCATACTAAAGAAGGTTCCCCACTCCACCACTTTGCCACTGCGCATCCTACCGTCAGAGATCAAATGAAATTAGTTTACCTATACATTTGAAAAAAATAATTTAGTGTGGACATCCTAGTACCACGCACCAAAGATACAATTTTGTGAAATCTTTAGTACTAGTTTATTCATAATAGTATCAAATAAATGAATGAAATAACATGGAAGAAAATATTTAAAAGAAAAATTACTCCATTCACCACCAAATTATCCCCTAGATGTAAACAAAATCTGTATCATGTCTGTTTGAATGAATTATTGTGCCATATAGACGTTGTATCATAGAGTATCATAAAATAAATATTGGTGATGACGACTTAACGAGACTTAAAAAATAGGTATAGCTGAAATTGATAGAAAACATGTACTCTTAGATCACCAGCGACAACTATGGTCGACTGTTTCTTAGCTGCCATTATGGAAATTATTCTTTTTAGCCGGTAAGGGTAACCTTTGAGAAAATACCAAACAAAATCGCTAAATATCTTAGGTTGCCTAATCTACATGCAAGAGTCATAGCTTTGGACCTATAACCATATTTGCAGATGCCATTGAGGAAGCATGGTGGCTGCATTTTACCGATTTTTTACAAAGGAAATTTAATGTCTACTAAATCAAAGAATTATAAATCGGCTAGATTACAGTAAAAAATGAATAATGAATAACACAGGTCGATAAAATTTGGCCGAGCCTCTAACACAGAAACCAGAAAGTACTTTTACGAAAGATTTTGGTGCGCTGAATTCGAATCCGAGTTCCAAATCCAATAGGCTCTGGTTTTCGAGATATCCTAACCTAAAAGTGTCGAATTGTATTGCATTTTTAATCCGTAGTGAACTATAAGGAAAAAACAGATCTTTTCACCTAGACACATGAATGATTAAGATATTGTTTTACATTTTAAATATTAACAAGTATTATTATTTATTTGTATAAAAACAAATGTATAACGATAATAACATAGGCCGACAAAATTTGGCCGACGCTCTAACCCAGAAAACAGAATGTACTTTTCTGAGGGAATCTGGTGTGCTGAATTCGAATCCGAGGTCCAAATTACCCAATTGGCTCCGGTTTTCGAGATATCCTAACCTAAAAGTGTCAAATTCGCACAACAAACCTAAATTCGTCAGCACCTGGAAGTAGGGTTCTTACACGTTTTTGGGGTCAGTGATCATGAACTCCGAAATACTTTATCACATCAAATTTTGCAATAAACTTAAAAAAACCAAGTGAGTTTTAAAGAGTATAGTACTTTAAGACTCCATTAATGGTTTCAGCAAAACAATTTACTTTTCCATGTAACATAACCTCAAATATGTAAAAAAAAATCGTGATTTTGGCAATTTTAGGTTAAGATATCTCGAAAACCAGAGCCAATTGAGAAATTTGGACCTCGGATTCGAATTCAGTGCACCAAAATCCTTTGCAAAAATATATTCGTGTTGTTGGGTTACAATCTTGTCGGCCTGTGAAATTAATACTCATGTTTTTAATGCTAAAAAGTTTAATTGCGCAGTGCCTTATAAAAGCTGATTTTTTACACTGAAAATTTTGCTGAAAACTCACTTTTGACACGGCCGCAGATAAATAACTATAATTAAAAAAAGATCTAAAAATGCATAACATGTATATATTGTTAAAAGCAAAAAATAATTACATACATAAAAAATTGAGGATCCCTGAAAATATTTGCTATATCAATTTTAATTTAGTTCTTGAAATGCAAAGTAATTTTCGAAGAAATAATGATTCCTTGCCTACCAATTATTGGAACTAGTCAATTATGACGATATTTTGCATTTTCTCCTGAAAAACATACCCATATGTTAAACTAATAAAACTTGTGAAATTACCGTTTGCTATTCTTGGAGAGGTGTTAATTGGACTGTTCAGAGCAGCAAACATGTGATGTGGAAAGTGTGGATGGTGGTGGGGCATAAACGGTCCGTGTTGGTACGGATGTCGACCTCCTAACATAGCCCACTCTGGAGGATGTCCCGGAAGTCCCGCTAAGTGATGAGCTATACCTGGAAATAAGGGTAATTGTGTTAATTCGGGGTTTTCGAAATAAAATTGACCGCATACACATATTTCCGTTGGTGCAAACCTCTTTATGTCTAACTCATTTTTATGAAACCTAAATAAAAGTATCTAAGTATTCAAATAAAGTATTGTCAGTCGCTTTCTGATCAAAATTTTATTTTTTCTTCATGATATGAGTTTCAGCTTTTATTGAGAAAATTCAATTGCTGTAGAACTCACAAAAATAAAAAAGTTTGAAAAAAAGTTTTTAAACTTGTTTGTTTTAAAGCCTCATTTTCAAAATACTGGGTGTTAAAGTTAATAAAAAAAATGGTTTTTATTTTAATGTCAGTAAAGGGCTTAATTATGTGTGGTTAGGTTATATTTAATTGTTTCAATAGCGGTATTGGTCCATTCCAATTAAAGAAAATTTTGAACATGCTCACCGCCTTTTTATAAGTTTGATATTACTTTTAGATTGAGCAATTAGAAATGCAATTTTCCCTGGGAATATAAATTTAATTTAATTAATAAAATAAGAAAATAAAATATTTTTTTCTAATTAGCCTTGTAACATCTTAAGATTTTGATAATCCCTAATCAGCAATTCCAACAATTAAAAATAAATAATAAAATCATAGTTGTCCGCCCGTCGCCTTATTGGTAACATTTATGCGGCTGATGCGCTGATGTTTATTCAAACTAGATGTTGAAAAAAATATACATATTTTTAATTATAACACCCAGTATCTCGAAAACGAAGCTTTAAAATATACATAAGAACTTTTTTATATATTTTTGCGAATTCGACCATTAAATTTTCGCAATTAAAATCTAAGATACTCAAAACCCATTTTCAAGAACCAGAATAAAATATATTTTTATTGCAGGTTTCAAGACCTATCTGGAATGGAAACATCTCTCCCAGTTTGGCAGAAATGGTAGTACAGGAAGAAAATATCTCGAAAGAAAAGTTCAGTTAACAAACGAATTTGGAAAACTCTGTAAGAGATTATTACAACTTCTTATGTCTTTAGATACAACTAACATTTTGCAGCGAACTGCGCCAATAAATAAGAAAGTTTGATACCGTCTTGAAGTTTTATTTTTTCAAGAAAATTCATTTATTGTAACTAAGATATTTGCATACGTGTTAGAATTAAAAAGTTTTTAAAAATTTTCTATAAAGAATTTTAAATAAAAATTTTTTACTACAACCACTGAGGTAGACATAAATTAAAGAACAATATTAGGTATTATATTTTACTGCTACAAATAAATACACTTTCTTTTGTGGAATTAAACGAAAAAATTAATTAACACATACTAATAGTACAAAATTATATATAAAACACAAAAATTTTAAAGAAAGTTAAATTTTGAAACGACGATGTAAAAAGTGTTGAAAACGTAACTAGATTAATGTGAATTGTTTTTCCACCTAACCAATATTTACCTTAATTACTAAATTTCTTTTTTAAAAATATTTCTTTTATTATTAGCTCCATTACTTTTTACTTTATTTTAAGGTTAAGTTAATTGAAATAAATTCAATAATTATTGTACCAGGTCTTTATCTCTTTTTATTCAACTTATTTGAAGCCAAATTAATATTTTGGTTCAATAAATTCTATAACGTCGTATTCAGGTAGGATATGAAGAGCAATTATTGAAGAGTTAAGTATGTTTTACAGAGGTAATAAAAAATACTTTGCCAAGTCATTAATATGGTAGCAAAACAGAACACATGATCCTCTTAAGTTGCAAAGGCAAAGGATCCGTCTTTGTAATAACCTGCATAATACCCATATTTCCTGCAAACAATAACTTGAGATCCTGCTAGCGGGAGCGGTTTGAATATAGCCCAGGAATTTTGCACAAAACCTGGATCTTTAGAATTCACCATGACACATTTATTTATGCACAATCAAATGATAAAACCATAAAACAATGCTCTCTTTGAAATAGTAATAATTCGTTTTATAATTTGATATAGCCTGAAAAGCCATTCTTTGCTGGACGAACGTAAAAACACGAGCGAAGCTTTTTATTTTTTTCATAAATTTTTTTGTAAATGTCATTTTATTGGCTAGAATATAGCCCAGGAATTTTGCACAAAATCTGGAACATCTTTGAATTCAACATGATACATTTATTTAAACGCAACCAAATAAATGCTCAAAAACAATATAAAATATTTACTTTATTTGAAATGCCAATAATTATAATTATAATTTATTTAAAATAAAATGTAAAATGCCATCCTTTACTGGATGAACGTTAAAATACGACAAATCTTCTGTTCTCGATTATGTGCAAATTTTTGTAACATATGGACAATTTTTCATGAATATTTGTAGAACTATATCGATTTTTTATAAATATTACTTTGATAGCCAGTATTATTCGAATAGGTACCCTAACTGAACTGATAGATTATTATTAATTTGAGGCAATCGTTTGTTGTTCTATTGAAATATCAAGTTAAGAATATTTTATAGTGTTTACAGTCATATAATATAGATGAATTCCAAACGCAGCAACATGCATAGTCTCGAAAACAATGTAAATTGGTGTACAAACGACTCACCAATTGCTGTGCTTGGAAAAAGCGAAAAATCTTACGGAAAGTGTGTACCTTACTTATTTTTCAGAAATGGCAAAGCTTATAAAATCTTCGAGCATGATGGCTGAAAGTCATTGACGGTGGCAGAATTTTATATACAATTAGAACAAAATTGCGACATCAAACCTAATTTGGCGCAGAAAACCTACATCTACTAGCTACAACACTGAAGAGTTATGAGTAGACATCGGAAACTTTGTAGCGATAGTCAAATAAGTAAAAAGTAGTAATCTGTATTATGCTAGTAAGCGGCAATACGCGTCCTAGTAGCAGAAATAAACTAAATATGCGGTCAAACCAACCGCGTGCCGCTCTATGCTTGCAATGCTACTAACTGCCACAAAAACACGTGCCATACACAGCAAAAAACTAGATTATTCACAGGCACGCTAGACCGACAGGAAAGGCATTAGGGTGCCGCTGGAACGTATCGAATAAATCGATCGATGCGAAGCTTCAGATCAGCGGCAGACATATACATGTTATTGTACAATGTCGCGGACAGTTGGATTACTCAAATGTACAGTAAATAGCTGATGCTTCGCAACCATTAGTAAAAAAGGCATAAAAACTATTTTAGATATGTGCCTGTGACCTCGGTAAATGTTGAACGGTTATTTTTGGTTTTGAAATGGGTATTTACCGATCACCGGAGACGATTAACCCCAGAACACTTCCCTTATGAATAAGAAATTATAATTTTTTTAACGCTTGTTGGTATACTTATTATTACTTGCTATACCTGTATATTCTATGGTAAGTTCCATGTGAAGCGTTTAGTTTAGAAAAAATAGGCCTGTTTTTGTTTCATACTATTTTGCAAATTCTTGGCAACGATTGTCACTTTTTGTTTGAATAAAATTACATAGACGAGTATCCGGCCTATAGCTAAACCCTGTACCACATTGCAGCCTAACATTTCCGATATCTAGTTATAAGTTACTTAAAATTATTATTATAATAGAGTTAATTGGGAAATAGACATAGCGATTGTTAAACATGGATAGTGAATAATAACTAATATCCTTGCTGATATAGAACCTTTCACTTAAATCATACAATATAAACTTTTCTGTACAAGCTCTTATAAAAGCCAATTTTTTACATTGGAAATTATGTCACTTTTAATAAGATTGTAGATAAAAGTAAATTTATTTCCTCCTATTAAAAGTTAACTTTGTTCCCTGAAACACCAACACCATTTTCTCGTTTTGTGTGCGGTTAAATTAAAAAATATATTCGTTCTTGTTCAGCTTATGAACAACTTAAAATGCATTGGAGCTTTTTATCGAACGATGAGCGCGTTCGACTGGACTAAAAAGCTCCAGAACTAAAGCAGGAGAAGGAAAACCCGTTCTCGGTATAGATCTTGATAGTAAAGGTTAGCACAGCAGTCCTGCGGGCCACCAATGGGGTCTGAGGCTCCCCCACTCTAACCAATGAGGCATCTTAAGGTCAACCCTTTACCTAACCGTAGCGATAACTTGAGTAATACATTTGCGAATCGACTGGGCCACTGTAATATCATGCGCTACGTTTTTGGTTGCAATTTCCACCAGCTTAGGTTGAGTTGGCGTTTATTTTATGCCCTCCGTTACAATTACGTCTTGTTTGTTTCTATTCCGCTATTGATTTTGGTATGTGGAAATTAATAGAAGTTAATTTTGGAAGAATGTTTTAGATTTGCATTATGTCAATTTTGCGGTTAGCCTCTCTAATTTTTATTTCAACAAAACGTAAATATTATATCTCCTTTTTGGTATCATTTTTTCCAGTCTAATGTCTTTTTATGTAATTGATAAAATGGACGGTGTCAGACTTTTTAGGTACAATTTTATATGATGACGTTGAATTTTGGAAAGGGTGTCTTTAAAAGGCGTGACAAACTAAACCTATGATTTTTGCAAAAGCACCATTTCTTTAAACAGTGTGTGTATTTTTTTTCTCATATTTGAGGATTCAGGATTAGTGTTATAAGATTTGATGAGTCTATTTCTATAGGTAAAGAAAATATAGCGATTAAAACATGCCGTAAGAGCAATGTGGTATGTTTCAATGGTCATATATTTATTATTAGAGGTAAACACATTGTATATTTGTAATTTTGATAAAACTTTTCATTGAAATATGCTACAATGCACTGGATGTTGTATTATAAAAATCAAAAGTTTGTGCAGATTACTTTATGGTTTGTTGCATGTATTTTTGCGCAGAATTGGTGGTTTCGATTATAACTTTTCTTGTTCTAAAGGTATTAAAAAAGCAAAAGATACTTTATTAATACATGGCAGATTCTTTTTCAGAAATTTATTTCTCTGTTATAATAGTGAACCAAATTTGAAGTCCACCACCGAATTATCACCTGTAGGTGTACAAAAT